AAAAAAAAAAGTTCCAGGGTAGTCCCTAGGCTGAGTTCAAGCCCCAGGACTGTGGAAAAAAACAAACAAAAAAACTCCCCCCTCTTTCTGAAATTTTGGGACTGGCTTTAATTTAGGCCTTCATTAAATCTTTGAAGAATTATCTTTTAGTTTTTAAGATAGGGTCTCACTTTTTACCTTTTAGTAACTTGGTGTGGTACTGTCTACTTATAATCACATTATACTGAGTAAAAGGATCAGAGTTCAAGGTCAAGTTGTACTACATAGTGAGACCCTGTCTCAAGTTTTCTTAAAAAATTAGCCACCGGAAGTGGTGTTGTGGCTCAAGTGGTAGAATGCTTGCCTTGAGCTGAAGAGCTTGAGGGACAGCGCCCAGGCTCAGAGTTCAAGCCCCACAACCGACAAGGGGGGGGGGAGGAGAAACTCTTAGTAAATGGCCAATTTTAGGGCTGGGAAGGTGGCTCAGTGGTAGAGCGCTTGCCTTGCATGCCTGAGGCCCTGGGTTCGATTCCTCAGCACCACATAAGCAAAAAGAAAAAAACCGGAAGTGGCTGTGGCTCAAGTGGTAGAGTGCTAGCCTTGAGCTGAAGAGCTGAGGGACAGCACCCAGGCCCAGAATTCAAGCCCCATGACCGGACCCCCAAAAAAAAAAAATTAGCCACGTAGGCTGATAGTTTAAAGCAAAACAAAAACAAAAAAATTTGTCTTATTACCCTTTCAGTAGCAACAGTAGATTCTTGTTTAAATTTCTGAAGAGTACCCATCAACAAGCCAAATATTCGTCGATTCCTAAAAGACACAACAAACAAAACTCAGTTTCACTAGGGTCTACTTAATTAAAACTGCTATTTCCCAAGATACATTTTCAGGCATTTGAGCAACCCTGTATTTTTTCCATACACATCATTATTTGACAGTTTTTTTTCTTCTATTGGATGTGTTCTACAGATACCTCTGCTTTCCCTTTTCATCCATATTTTGATCCTGGATAAGGTCTCTGCGTGTGCGTTCTTTGGAGGTAGCTACAACTGAAGACTGCAGTGCCGGCTGCAAGACAAAAAGACAATCTCAATGACTGAAGTAGCTTATGGGTAACATGCTTAAAATGTAGTAGGTACTGTATTCATACCTTCTTAACATCATCATCCTCTGGGTCACTCTCTTGGCGCGATTCTCTTCTTGTCCGACGCTCCCCGCCCAGCCTGTCAAAAGAAAAAATAATTTATACCATGGAGAATTTGAGCTAAGTGCACACAAAAGGCAAATGTCCATGAATTCTAATACTGATCTCCAGAAGCCTCATTCTTTCAGCCTCCTCAGTGAAAGGATAAAATACAGTAACAAACACTCAACTCAAATTTGGCTCATCAAACATCTAAATATTTGTTCTCTGAGTACAAAATAGAGTAAATGGAGACGGGCACTGGTGGCTCACACCTGTAATCCTAGCTACTTAGGAGGCTGAGATCTGAGGATCAAGGTTCAAAGCCAGCCTAGGTAGGAAAATCTGTGAGACTCTTATCTCAATAAACCACCAGAAAACTGCAAGTGGTGCTGTGGCTCAAGTGGAAGAGCACTCACCTTAAGCTGGAGAGCTGAGGAACAGCACCCAGGCCTAGAGTTCAAGCCCCAAAACCGACCAAAAAAAAAAAAAATGGTTTAAAAATGTCAGTTCGGGGCTGGGAAGAAGGCTCAGGGGTAGAGGGCTTGCCTTGCATGCCTGAGGCCCTGGGTTCAATTCCTCAGCACCACATAAGCAAAAAGCCGGAAGTGGTTCTGTGGCTCAAGTGGTAGGGTGCTAGCCTTGAGCTGAAGAGCCGAGGACAGCGTCCAGGCCCAGAGTTCAGGCCCCACGACTGGACCAAAAAAAAAAAAGTCAGTTCTTCACATCTTAATTCTTCACCATTTCCGGTTTTCTAGGGTTTATTGGTTAAGAGCTTCACGGACTTTCCTGCCTGGGCTAGCTTTGAACCTTGATCCTCAGATCCCAGCCTCCTCAATAGCTAGGATTACAGGTGTCAGCCACCAGTGCCAGCTTCCCATCTTGATTCTTTTATGATCCTTACTTTCATACCAATTTAGGTTATTGAATAAAACACTAAATTTTGAGGGATAGTGCTGTCTTACCTTAATCTTGTATCAAGGGACCACTAAATTCCAATACAACCCAACTCAACAATAATTTTGTACTGTCTTTTCTCTTTTTGTGGTGGTCATGGGGCCTAGGCAGTCTTTCAGCTTTTGTGCTCAAGGCTCTATTACTTTGAGCCACAGTGTCACTTCTGGTTTTCTAGTAGTTAACTGGAGCCTCACAAACTTTCATTCTTGGGCTACCTTTGAACTGTGATCTTTGGATCATAAACTTCTGAGTAGGTGGCATGAGCCACCAGTGGCTGGCAGGATCCCTTCTCTTATGTGTCTGCTGGTACTTAGTCTTTATTTTATTTTGTTGTAAAGGCGCCGTACAGAAGGGTTAGTTATATAAGGTAATGATACATTTCGTGTCAAACATTGTTATCTACTCCTTCATTTTTCTTCCACTATCCCTCTCCCTTTCCCCTTTCTTCCCCCGCCCCCAACCCCAAAGTTGTAAAGTTCATTTCGACATAGTGTCTTGTCAGTATTGGTACTTGGTCTTGAACTTGGTGTCTAGGTGCTCTCATTTGGTTTTTTCACTCAAGGCTAGCTCTCTATCACTTGAGCCACAGCTCCACTTCTACTTTCTGGTGGTTAATTGGGGGTAAGAATCTCATGAACTTTCCTGCCTGGGCTGGCTTTGAACCATGATCCCCAGATCATAAGTCTCCTGTGTAGCCAAGATTACAAACATGAGCCACTGGCACTTGGCTTAATATTCTTTTTTGGCCAGTCCTAGGGCTTGAACTCAGGGCCTGGGCACTGTCCCTAAACTTCTTTTGCTCAAGGTTAGCACTCTACCACTTAAGCTGCAGTATGACTTCTGGCTACTTCTGTTTATGTGGTACTGAGGAATCGAACCCAGGGCTTCATGCATGCTAGGCAAGCACTCTACCACCAAGCCACATTCCCAGACAAGTATTCTTTTTTAAACATACCTACTGACTGCCCCTTCAAGGTCTCTCTGTTTGGCTGGGGGTCCTCCTCCACTATCTGAGAATCCACGCCTGCAATTAAAAATGTACAATAAATTGTAAATATAAGCTACATTTGTAACAAGATAATAAAGTTGCTTTTTAAAAAAATGTTCCAACTGAAGTAACCTTAAATGGACAATTCAGCATTTTGGGAGGGGTTGGGTTTTTTTGGTGTGGTGCTAGAGATTCAATCTCAAGCCTTATACATGCTAGGCAAACACTACTGCTAAACTACATGCTCATCCTCCAGAAAGCATGGGTAGTATTTTTAATTTTTATTACAAAGATGATGTATGGAGGGGCTACAGTTACATAAGTCAGGTAAAAAGTACATTTCTTTTTGGCTTTCCTTGCTCTTGCTCTATTCCAATGTGCAGTATTCTTAAAAATACAATTAAGGTCGCTAAACACTAGTACAGTTAATACTCTTCCTCTAGCTTTCCACTTCTAAAAAAAAAATTAGCAGATGACAGTATTAAACGAAGTGATACAGTTCTTATGGTGAATTTTATTTAAATCAATGCACGAATTTAATTAATACACGTGTTAGGGAGATCTTACCTCAGCAATAAACTACCACGTCCTCTACCTCCACCAGGACCAGAAAGGGCCAGCAATCGGGCTTGGATGGGCCTATAAAAGATTCACAATCATTTAAAAAATGATGTGCACAAACACCTAAGGGTGTCGTACGATATTTTCAGCTTACTATTCTTTGCGGGGAGGGGGGGAGCAGGAAGTGTGAAGAAGACCAGTTCCAAAATGACGGTTTCAAATCCACGTGTTTCAAAGAGAGGGCAGAAGTACTCAAAAAATCATCACATTTACCACAAGGGCACTACGCATTAGCACACCCACCCACCGCGAGGAAGCGGCCCTCTGGCTCGGCAGAGCCCGGGGAAAAGGTGGCCGGCAATCACCCGGGAGGGTTCCCGGGTCAGCCCAGAGGGAAGAGGCTTTGTGCTGCAGCCCCAGGCCTGCAGCGCCTAGGGCGGGAAGCACGATCCGCGCCCGCCGGCGCCGCCAGGCACCGCTCTCCATCCTCGGGCCCTTTGCCCTGCGGTGGACGGCGGGGCTGAGGGGCCCCTTCGGCTTACTGCGTGTCGCAGAAGCCCGCAAGGCCTACTGCGGGGTCGGGGAATCTGCTCGGCCCACCGCGGGGTCCGAGAATCGGCCTACCGCGGGGCCTGGGAGCCGCCTCGGCCTCCGGTAGGGCCCGGACGCTGACTCGGCTGACGGCGAAGCCCGGGAGCCGGGCTGCGGCGGCTCGGGGCCCCGCCGCAGCCCCCCGAGCCCCGCGTTTACCGCCGCCCGGGGAACCGGCCTACACGTTTCTTCCACTCTTCCTCAGGGCCGACTGTTCGTCCTCCCCAGTCCCAGTTCACCCTGACCGGAGGGCTCCCTTTTCCATGCCGCGGTTCCCGAGCTACCCTACCTCACGTCATTCGGATCTCGCCCGGTGAGCTTGCGGATGTTCTCATCTACGTTCTTTAGGCTTTCTTTGGCCTTTTCTAGCTGTTCCTGCAAAGTTCTCACTGCGACCGCCATCTTCTCCTGCAGCAGCAGCCTCCGACACCGTTCTACAGGCCGCGCCACCGGCGCCGCGACGCAAGACGCAGAAAGACCGACAGCTGGGTGAACCACTAAGCACGGGAGTTGTCCTTCGGCCTCAGCCACTCAACGAACGGAAGATGGAGACATTTCCAGCCTTTGGGATTCTGGGCCAATGAGAAGTCGAAGAGGCGGGTAGCTCCCGCCCCAAACTAGCCGCGGGTGGCTGGGCTCCGCTACTAGCGCAGAGCCTGGGCGGTGGCTTGATAGATGCTGCTCTTCCGAGATGGCAGTTCTGGGGCTGGCTTTTTGAGATTGGTTCTTTTATTAACGGCTTCGCCTTGTTTTAGTTGATCGGGTCACACAAAACTGGAAGGGAGCAAAACTAGTTCCTTTTATCTCAGTGATTTAATTAGGAAAGGGCGCGGCCATTATGGTGTGGCGCCTGCGCGGAAAGGGGGCGGGGGCACGCCTCCCTAGATTAGAGTGAGCACGCGGAATCAAAGGACGAGCTGGGGCCGGGTGCTGGTGGCTCCTGGCTGTAATCCTAGCTGATTCTCTGGCTGAGATCTGAGGCTCACGGCTGGAAGCCAGCCTGGGCAGAAAAAGCCGTGAGATTCCTATCTCCAGTTAACCACCGGAAAGCCCAAGTGCAGCTGTGGCTCAAGGGGTAGAGAACTAGCCTTGAGCTAAAAAGGTCAGGGACGGCGCCCAGGATCTGAGTTAGTGTCTCTGTCTTGTGTCTCTGTCTCTCTCTCTTCCCTCCCTCCCTCTCTTTCGCTCACCCTCCTCTTGTTCCCCACCTCTCAAAAAAGCTTAGATGCGATGCTTACTATTAATGAGAAGACATACCTGCTATACCTGTCCTTACATCTTACAAGCCAGGTACATACTCACCATCAGACCAGATGCCTGAGACTTGTACTATAAAATGAAATTCATTGGCAGGTGTGATTGACTTAGCTACTAGAGGCCAGAGCTGATAGGTTTAATGAGTGCTCTGAGGGGATCAACTCTGTGTGTGGTATGTGAGTGTCTTGCACCTCTGAGTCTGCTTAGTTTGTACTACCAAGTAGAATATATACATAGAAGTATATTAGTTCCAGAGTATATACACATTGTAGCTCAGAAAACACTTTATCTCTGCTGAGGATACAGTTATGCAGTAGAGTACTATGCTTAAAGTACTTGGTTCAATCCCCAGCACAAAGAAAACGTTATTTCCCAAAGCAACAATGTTATTAATATATGTATCATCTCTGGCTGGGGATGTAGCTTGAGAACCTGGGTGCCACTTCTAGCACTACAGAAAATAAATACACACACACACACACACAACTGCTGGACAAAACCGGGCACCAGTGTCTCACACCTGTAATCCTAGCTATCAGGAGGCTGAGATCTGAGGATCACAGTTCAAAGCCAGCCTGGGCAGGAACAGTCCCTGAGATTTTTTTTTTT